TTTTGGTGTCGAATTTCTGCCGAGCTGTCAAAACTCGCCGAAGGAGATTAATCCAATAGACCTCCCTCCTTCATGACAAGTAACCCGCCCCCCGGCCCCGGGACTTCTAAGCTTCTCATTGCCTGTGTATCTTAATTATGATTTTTGGGTGATGGGCTTCCACTAATGAGGGGGAACAGGGTGAATTCATTTCAGTTGAATGGTGCTGTGATCCTCGTGCCTTTTTTCTTTCACATGTTCCCCCAATGTGCCGTTATTACAGGGCCGAGCAGTGCAGCGTAAACTGAAGCCTTTCATTGGAGGCTTGATTGCCTGCCCACTAGCCGCGGACCAGGTTTTTCCTTCCATGGCGTTTACACTACTACCGATTGGCTTAATTGAATCGTTAACCACTTAACCACATAATGACATTGAGTTTTGCGGTGTGCACAGCATCCTTAACACCTGTTTTCTTGCTGAGATCCATTATGTAACCCGATGAAGGTCGAAGGAACATTGTTATTAAATATCTCAGAATGCAATTGAAGAAGACGGCGCCGGTGAGTCTTGTGGTTCTGCGGGATCTATAATGTAAAACCACGTTTCCTAAACTCATTGCTTGAGGGCAGGTGAATATGTTTCTTTATCTATTATTCCACATTATTCATCATAAGACTCTGTGAGATGCCACGTGACCACATTCAACCCAGAGAGAAATGCATTCTAGGTTATTCCTCAGCTCGAGACAGACTGGAGACGTTTCATCATGCCGGCTTTGTTTTTGTTGAGGTTGGAATTATATTATAGGGAAGGAAAGGATTTGAGTTATGCAGGATATTTATTCTCAAGAAATAAAAAAAAAGCAGGCTCCGTCTATTAAGTTTAAATTACACAGATTAGCTCAACACACTTAGCATTTTTAAAACCCAGTCGCCAGAAAAAAGAAATGTTGGCATACGTTGAATGTGTAAATAAACATGGGATGATATGAAAATGTTATCCTAGCCAAAGTAAAACAATAATATCCTGATTAACATATGCTTAAAAACTCAATCAGCAATCACCCTACCTTACATTTTTGTTAAGAAATACATATTTTTATTTCATGGGACACGCATCTTTTTTTTTAGAGAACATCCGTTTTATGTGGAAAACAAACAAATAATCTTAAATAAAGAAATTGCAAGTCATGCTTTCATAAAGGACAAACAACAAATAGTGTGATTCTGTTCTTTCTTATATGATGACTCCTGTGTTTTATGCAATGCAGCATTTTACCTAAAAACAATTCCTAGACTCATGCAAAAGTAATTCCTCCTAATCATCACTCATGACCCACTACAAGTGCGTGTCAGAGTCTGTACCTGCAGAGACTCTTTCCCTTACCTTCTCATGTTGCTGTGTTGGTTTCTAGGCGTCAGTTTTTGGTCAGTGGGTGTGAAGCCCCCCAGCCAATAGCAGGCGAGGTCGGGACTTAATCAAAACGTATGACCAGGTCCTTTGCTGTCTCCTTCTCCTCTGCTATCTGTCTGTTTCATGGATGTATAAAGAGCTGCAGGTCAGTGTGTGTGTTTGACCCAGAGCGGGTATGAGAGACACATACACACACACACATACACTATACAGGCAGAGCAGAGAGGCCAGGACACGGCGGAGTCGAGCAGACAGGATGAAGCAGCACCTTCGTACCAGGGTTGTGTAGAGGTCTGGGTCGTGTTAATTAATTTGATCTGATTCACTGCTTTGTTTTCACTAACGCCACTTGCTCTCCTTATTCACTCTGTAGCTTGCTGGCCCACAGCTCGCTCCGTCGCTCGTTGAGCCGGGGAGGACGGCGCAACTCTGAATGATGCTTTTACAAACACCAACCAGCAATGCTGAATCAGCACCTTTTAAGTCAAACTCTATTTTCACTTCTCTGCCGTGAAAGAGAGCTAGACAGCTTTTTATAAGTCACTCGTGACGATATTTACCATTATCCCAACAATGGAAATTCATGATGATCAATTTATTGAGAATTTTTTTTATTGCAATCCGCTATATAATCCTATCTCGTCCCATCCTTATTCATGAATACATTTCATATAAGCCTTGTATCACGCCAGTTAGTTTTATACGACATAACTTCTTCAGAAAAAAGATCATGGTCAGTGGAAAGATAATTAACGCAACAACGTAACGCAGCAACGTAACACAGCAACGTAACACAACAATGTAATGCAGCAACGTAACGCAACAACGTATTGCAGCAACGGAACGCAGCAACGTAACACAGCAACGTAACGCAACAATGTAATGCAGCAACGTAACACAACAATGTAATGCAGCAACGTAACGCAACAACGTAATGCAGCAACGTAACGCAGTAACGTAACGCAGCAACGTAACGCAACAACGTAACGCAACAACGTAATGCAACAACGTAATGCAACAACGTAACCCAACAACGTAACGCAACAACGTAGCGCAACAGTATAACTAACGTACTTTGTTATGGAACATTACGTAATTGGCATTACAGCCTTAGGTGACAAACTCACCATCTATGTTTTCACCCGGGACACCTCCAGTGGTCTGAGATGAAAATCCTGTTTTTGTTTGAGCCATCCACCACAATTCCAACCCGCCCTTTGTGGACTTTCGCGCTCTTCATACTCGTTATTATAGCACGTCACTTACAATTGCTCTGCGCATCTCTTGTTGTAATATTACTTACTACGCCCGAATGCAATAACGTATTTGTGGTTTGCAGAAATGTACAATGGCAACATTTTCCCCTGGCGACTGGGCTGGGATTTCATAATTGTTGAATTCCATATTCTTTCTGTGCTGGATAACTGCAGCCGTCACTGCTGACTATGCTTTTTCTTTTTCCTTTCTGTGGATATGCATGTCAGATTTTTGCTGATGTGTTTCATCACTTCTTCACTTCGGTGCCATTTTATCAGCACTGGGAACCTGTAGGGCGTAGGAAAAAAAATGTCTTTGTGTGTGTTATTACTTGTTTGTCTCCAAGGCCACATGCTCAATATAGAAAACTCTAAATGAGCGTGTGCGTGGATGATCTGCAGCAGTGTACATCAACACAATCATGCTTACAGTACTCATTCATCTCTTATTAATGCAGAACCTTCCACATTTATGCACACTCTGCCCTTTACTGCTCTGAATGTCATTCCTTTAGGCACTTTCATGATATCTTCTCAATACTACAAGGCAGGGCATAACTTTGGCCCTCATTTATCAACCACTTTAATGTGGAAAGGAGTCCTTTTAAGGACTAAATTAACTTTCCCTCAATTCTAAAATGTTTTACCAAGAGTCCCGTAGGGAACAACTTGCAGCTCTAATAAAGAAAAAAGGAGATCTAGCATTCTAGTGAATCTGGCTGTCTTATGGTTTTTGATTTCAGATTTGCCAGAGAAGCATTTCATTGATTTTTTTTTTTTTTTAGAGTGATTGATCAATGTGTTTGTTTGCTTTCTTTAAACTATTAATAAACATTTGACAGCTCACAAATCTCCGTAGCTGACAACGTGCTCCTAATTCAATAGCTTATATGGGTAAAAATGCTTTATAGTATTGGACAGAAGGCACAGTTCATGGTGCTTGAATAAAACACATTTTTTTTTTATGTGCTACCAGTGGAAAGAGCTGAGTCAGCGCCTCCGTCATCAAGCACACACCAACGTAATAACTGCGGTCGAATATATTCTCATTTTATTTATTTATTCATCCCGCTAAAACTTTCATGCAAACCTGAAACTATGTTTCCTCAGTGTTCGTGTACTTTGTGTTTTTCTAAAAATATCAACTATTTTAAAATCCTTAATGTAATCTGTACACTGAGTCGGCTTGTACTGCTGTTTCATTTCATATCTAAAAGCTTGATTCTTTTGTCCTGCCCACAGAAGATGCAGCAGTGATGAGCTCCCATCAGCCTGTAGATGAGTAAAGCACAACAAAGACACACGACCATCAGCAGTCTGCAGTAACAGTAAGGCCCCATATGTGCTGTTACACACTCCACAGCTGTCTGTGAAGTTGTCATTATATATCATTGTCATTATACAGTTTCCAAGTCCCCCTCAGCCCAGATCCTCCCAGTGCACATGCACCTGCTGATTGTTCTGTGAGTTCCTGTGTGATTATGGGAACAAAAGGCACATCCAGCTCTGACACCACATTCAGCTGTGCGTTTTGTTGTCAGGGTCCCTTTGCTTTGTAATATAACACAGAACAGGAACGAGGTGACATTTTGATGCCATCCTGCTTATCTTCTTAGCACAGGTTTTTCTCTACTTAAAAGAGCAGCATTCACATTCATACAGTTCATATATATATTAGTGCTGGGCAAGTTAACGTGTTAATTTCGCGTTAACGCATTCATTAATTAACGCCGACAATTATTTTAACGCATTTTTTAAATTTATTATAATTTTTTTATTTATTTTTTTATTTTTTATTTTTTATTGTTTATTATTTTATTGAAAGACAAGAGACATACATATACATAACAACAAGAGGATGACAAGAACAGTGGGATAAAAGCCAGCAAACATCCTATAGTCAGTAATTTTAGTGCACCTATATGCTGGAATTCACGGTAAACGCATTTAAACGGCACAGATCGGGAGCGAGCGAAGGACTTTGAAAGTTAGCTGAAAGATTAACGTGAGACAACATCCGGTTTCTTCAGACGAACATCCGGTTTTCGGAATAAGATGCCAACAAAGTATGAATTATATTCACATTAAGTATAAAACATGCTACCTGCATCTCGTGAACCAAATGTTATTGCCCTTTTGTTCATATAGCAGTACTTTTAAAATAAAAGTGCGCAATACACTACTTTTGAATTCATTATTGAACTTTGCCATACCAATGCGATTAATCGCAAAAAATCCATGCGATTAATCGCGATTAAATATTTGAATCGTTGCCCAGCATTAATATATATATATATATATATATATATATATATATATATATGTATGTGTGTGTGATATTTGATGGAACTGTAAAGAAGTAGTCGGCTTACATTTTCAACTTTTAAAGGGACAGTACACCCCAAAATCTAAAATACATTTTTATCCTCCAGCGCATACAACGGTTTTGTACAATATCATATAAGTTACTCTTTTACTCTTTTTTTTTTGCCGTTTTCCTACGAATGCCAGCAACAAGTGTGAATTTCCGCTCATTAAATGCATACGATGTTTTTCAAAATAAACTTCCGTCTCCACAGGAAACAACTTAGTTTAGGTTTAGGCGTCAAAACTACCTGGTTAGGTTCAGGAAAATATTGTGAAACCCTTCGATTTAGGCAACAGGTTACATGACGAATAAATCAACGTTTACTTCTCATTTAACACGGGAAACACAAACGTCTTTCTGGGTGAAAGATCGCTGTTCCTTTTAGTTTTTTGTTTCTTTGCCAACAATTGATATTGATTAACAACACAGCATAAATATGTATTTTTGATTTTGGGGTGAACTGTCCCCTTAAGGATAACCCCCCCCAATAAAAACAACAACACACTTGGCATTATGCATTCACTTGCAGAGAGATTAGCCTCTCTCGAGCTTAAACGCCACCATTAGCATTGCTTTTCCCTGCCGATGAGGCATTCAGGCGTCTGCTCCCCCTCTCCACACGCAGAGTAGTTTCCTTGTCGGCTCACGTGTTGTATCAGACTGCGTTGGGGACTTTGATAACGCCATTTCTTTGAGCACTGTGCACAATGACATATCTTTCCAGTGCTTGTTCCGTCAGTCACTATTTCTGAAGGCTGTGGCACCTGTATGCCAGAAAGTGCTATGTGTTACTATGACAAACCGAACTTAGCTGTTTTTAATATATTGCGCTTTCAGTGTTTACCGCTCATGTCTTTCATATTGACATGCTTGTAAAAAGGCACTTAATGGGAATGTTGTTGTATTAAATCTGGTGGCACCATTGCACTTTATGCAGGTATCTGATTCTGGCATCGTCTTCACTGAAGATCAATCATTAGATGAGTAAATAAGTGACGACAAGGAAAACATTACATATCACACACCCATTTACAGCCAGACTTCACTCACTCGTTGCAGTTCATCGTGGCACACTTTTACCAGGTGAATAGGTCCAAACTACACAGTACTGTGTGTGTCTTCTTCAATGTGAGGCATTATTTCACAGGGCACTCTGAGGACAGAGAGTGATAAAGAGGCAGAGAAAGAAGGGGGGGCTGCATGCTGCAAAGTGGGAGCTTTGATGTTTTCCTGCATTGAGAATGGCAGTGTGTCGAAGAAAATGTGATGTGAATTGTTGTTGTTTTTTGGCGAGACTTCACATGAGTGGTGTTTCTCTTGCTTACCATTTAAAAGAGGACAGTTTGTATGGTAGCAGGGGGTCTTTTTATCATGTAGATCCCAGCTGAGCTTCTCTGCACTCTTGTGTTGAGTGCCCCGTCAGCTCCTTTATGCACTTACGTTTTCTAAACGAGAGTAAACGTGACCGGGAAAGACTTTTTAAAAAAACGTGGTCTTGTATAAAGGACTATGGCCGTGATTGTATGTTAAAGCTGAGGAATGCCTCGTCATGCAGAAACAGCAGTGTAGATTATAAGTAAATTATGAGGTCGATTGAAACCCGTTGAAATCATTCTTTAAGATTCACGAGTGTTCCATCAGCGTGTGAGAATTCATTCCCCATGAGATGGCAGTGGGCATTCGGGGTGGAATGAAATAACAATAAGCTTGAGGGTCGCGATATTATGTTGTGTGATGCTGTACCAATTTTCCAAAACACTGTATTGATTTTGAATTAATCGTTAACATACAAAGGATTCATAACAGAGAGTGGCTCTGATCTCACAGAAACATTGTGCCACGATGTCGGTTGTCACAGGGACAGGGGTCAATGCAAATGAAGATCGCACTGTTCTGATCCCACATCTTTTTTTTTTTAACTCTCAGATTTTCCGCATGTGTTCTTCATACTTCCGATTTTTTTCCCCCCTAAAATCATACTTGTTGGTGTCTTGGATGCAGCGTAAGAATCCCTTCATTGTGGCTTTAGATGATGGCCCTCTACAGATCCGTGCGATGCTTATCCAGACACTTCGGGGGAGCTTCCATGCCCCTCCAGATATGCCGAGCTCGGCCGGCTGTCCCCTCTCCCCGGTAATTCTGAACCAGACTTATCCATCAGAGCTTGATAAAGAGAAAAAAACAAAACTGTCAAGGCACTAATGGTGAGTCTTGTACCCAAGTCAGTGATGCATTACTTTATAAAATGACACTGACGTGAATGTTAACAACACGGGCTTTTGCTGAAAATGACATTTCTTTGGAAATGGTTCCCAGAGTAAAATCTTAATTTATCTAAAACTAATAAGACTTTTTAATTAAACCTCTCAGATGTTATCCCTGTGCTCCCTGCTCCGTACTGCCAGAGATATTTGTTAGGAGCACAATTCAACATTTTTGGAAAATATGCTCGCATGCAATACGAGTGAGATAAGAGGATCCATATATCAAACTCATGTCTGTTCATTAAATGCAGTCATTAAATGGAGTCATGAGTCATGAGTCATGATGCGGTTAGCTTAGCATAGCATAAAGACTGACACCAGAGGCGGAATAATGTTAGGTTGGCTCTGTGCAATGTTCAAAAATGCACCCGGTAACGCCTCTTAAGCTGACTCATTTACACAACCCGTACATAAACAGACATTTGTTGTGAGGGGGAATCGTGTGCATGAACTATTTCCTGGGGGAAAAAACCTGTGCAGCTGTAGTACAGATGTGGATGAAGGTTCTGGTCTCTGCACAGGCACAGTGGTGCCAAATCTGTCAAAATCAATGTGATGGCAAGACTTGGAGAAGCTTTGCACGAGCACTGTTGTTTGCCAAGAACAAAGTTCCCTTCTACATTTTTTTCAATGTTATGCTTCACAAACATAATGAGGCTAAACTGAGTCCTACTTCACTTTGTGATTTTAACACAACCCGTGTCACAGAATTATAGCTGCAGTAGTATTAACTCGTTGGTTGGAAATTTCAGGAAATTGTTAACTTCGTGTAATTGTCAAGTTAGATTAAGCTTCGGCATTACAGTGAAGACTCCACTTATTAGGCCGGGACACCACACCACTGAAAAGGTCTTTATTGCAGTGATTGTAATGGGATTTCTCTTTTTGAAGCTTTTTTCAGCTTCCTCTTTTCCTCAATATTTTTTTTTCCCCTTCTCGACTTAGGTGCTTATCTTAATTGGGTTTTCGGTGGCAGATACTCTGGATTCTTTGGGGACATTTCTTTTCATCAGTGAAACACCATGTAGCCCTTTTAGCCTTTTAATTGTGATTCGGAGCAAGACAAAACTTCACTCTTCACATGTAGGTGTGTATTTTCATTTTTAACGACCAACTATCGAGAAGAACTGAAATATGTCAGGAGTTCAGATTGCACCTCGGAGCGACGGTACATGTTAGTGGTCATTTCACTGTCTGGAATTCAACACAGGCCCTTGGGGTTTATTCTGATGAACACAGTATGACAAATAAAAGAATCTACTGAAATGATAGATCATTCTCTAGAGTTAAATAATACATGCAGAAATTCTTGCTACCGGGGGTGTTTGCTTGGCTAATGGAGTTTTTATTTATTCGGTCTTTATTTTTTATATATTTATTTATTTATCTATGATAACCATGCATAATCACTTCCTGCTTAGAGCATGGTTATGTGTACATGTATTTTTTAAAACATAGAGTCATATCAGAAAAAGTAGTGGTGATATTATGACATGCTGCTCATCATGTCCTTTGTTCGTGAACATCATTTTGCAACATTTAGCGTCACTTTCCAGCAGGCCTGCAGAGATCGTGCCGTCGGGTTTAAAGTGGGCCGGGGGGGCAGGCGGTCCACAGTTGTGAGTGACTGACGCTACCTCATGTCGTTTTCACTATGATAGACACATTTCATTTAGCATTCTAAACACTGGCCTGGCACTCCGGTCCAATCAGTTTGCCGGGTCCCGATGGCCAGCTGGGGCCTGACAGTTTGTGTGAAATGTGTTTCTTAAGACGGCAAATGTCCTTCACTTGTGTGAACTCTCTGTGTGGATTGAATAGCTGAACCACTGCCAACTGGGTTTCAATACAATTGTGCTCAACACTTTCCTCCCTTCATAACTTGTATCCTCAAGAAGCATATTAACATTTTTTAGGCATTATGTTTTCCCTCCGCGTGTTTTCGTCCTTTCTCGTGAACGCGATATCCGAGCAGCGACTGGAGGGAATTTCTTCTTTTTGTTTGCAATGACCAAATGCATTGTTGTGTTTAACCAGCAGGAGGCTACAATGCACTTCCAGTGCTGGCAATTTAAAGAAGAAGAAGAGGGCGAACTCAAAACAACACACTCGTAAAATATCTCTCTCTGCATTTTCAGACGTCGTGGTCAACGCCAGCTTATTTAATTTGAGTTACTGGAGATGAGAAAAAGGAGGGAAAAAACGAGAGCTCCGGTTTTGATGATGTATTTCCCAGGTACGTCCTTGTCAGGGACGCATCAAGACGCATTAGCATTTACACTAAAGAAGACGAGTGGTCGAAAGCACCCCAGGCAATCTGGGCAAGTGGTTCGTGCTCATTTACACTTGTAAATGGGGCTGTCCACTTGTGAGCCGACCACTCAATACGCATGTTAGTGCCAGGTGTAAACAGGGTCTATGTCTGGTAAATGTACACGTACAAAATTGGGAGCTTGATTTTGGCTGTCCATCCATCTAATATTGCTTCTAAAAGTCTAAGTCACTCCTGGTCTGATTTTGAAAGAACCTGGAGGGATTAAGCACCTCTGAATTTACACGATTTAAAAGAGCTAATGGGCTTAAAAGAGGCATCTCGAGAAAATGTCAGAATTTGTAACTCAGATGTTATTAATCATAACTTGTCCAATTTAATGTAATATAGACAGATAATCAATTTCAGTTCTCTTTCGGTTCCAGCTGGCCTTTATAATATTACAGATTATCCTTAAGGGTTTTATACTACATAACTGACTTTTAACAATGAGTTAGTTAACATGTTGTCATCGATGGCATTCGAGGCTGGTGACAAAACCTGAATCGTGCAGTGCTTTATAAAAGCATGGGACCTTGTTAGAGTAGGGAACCCACTATACTGAGACCAATATACTTGGAACAACAAAGCCATTGAGAGCCCTGATTTACCATTAAGAACTGTAAGTATTAGTGCTTGTTATAATAACAACAGAACAGGGATTGCGCTATGTTAATTTTGTCTGATTCTATTGAGACTTTGTTTTTCTGAAAATGGCAGAAAAATGTCTGCTGAATGCCAAGATTCTTAGTAAAAACACTGAATGATGTAAATGTAATTCATTTGACAGTTAAAGCTTTTGTTTGGGTTGTTTTTCGGCTCTGATCTTGTCTCTACCACTGCGACTCTGTCTGATTGTATAGAAGTCTCTAAGAATCTCGTATGATTTATTACCTCAGAAAAAATTGTAGTTCAAAAATGAGTTCATGGTCCCGATCGTCTTCTTCAATACGGCATGATGTGCATTTAATAGATTATTCCAATTAGAGTACAATAGATGTTAGAGCAGGGTATGCATCAGGGACTTGGCTTGCTGGTGATTGACAAGTCGCTACCATGGCGTTGTCCCGTTTACAGTGTGTTAAGTGTAACATTTTGTTGCCTAAAAATGTCTCATTCAGCTTCCAGTTGTATTAACGCCACCTTCTTGTGTCACTTATGGCTGCTGCAAAACCAAGATGACGACGGCCAAAATGACAAAATTGAAGCTTCAAAACTGCACTCCATAAACCAATTGATTTCACAGGGACTCGTCGACTATGATCGCAGCTTGTTTGCTTGAAACAGCTGGCTGCTGTGGCTCGAAACAACATCAATGAGAGTGGAGTTTACGGGTATGGAAAACGATATCATTGAAATGAAAGATGCCAAAAAAATCATTATTTTTCATAATACAATTATAATTTTTTTGACTGTTGCAATATTAGCTGTTAAAGTTTTGAGTCACTCCAACGAATGGTTTTATTTATAGTGGACATTAATCTTCCTGAAATGACTGTTCAGCAGATATCTGTAACAGGTTTCACATCTCCGTGGCCCAGAATAGAGCTTTGAGAAACATGTTTTACATCAGAATTCAGAAATGTAGTACTGTTGGCTCTTTCTTTGCCTGATTTCACTGAGGAGTGGAATTAGTTTTCTCCAGATTCCTGCTGGACATAGACAAAAGGTGAATTACAAAAACAGTTTAATTAAAACAACAACAAAAAAAAGAAGTAGTTATATTCATACCCCCAGTACAGCATTACAGCAGACATAACACGACCTTTTGAGCGGTGTGTAGCTCCGCAGTGACAAGATGAACATTAGCCATAGCATGGTACCTTGCGATATTGCAAGGCTCGTCTCTTTTAATTAGCCTCCTGATGTAGATTCAGCAAAAAAAGGTCGGTTCATGACCTATTGAGTTATTCCTGTTGGACAGTTTGAAGGGAAATTGATTTCAGTGTGACATGTTCCTTTTCTTTAAATTAATGTCAATGCACTTCGCCTTCCAACAACTAACTGCATCATACATAGTTTACAATGAGAACACACACTGAGATGTGAACACGTACACTAAAGCTTCAGAGTTCAGTCTATAGATTGCTCCCCAGGTGACATTATGTTTTACTTATAAACAGGAGCGAGCAGCCATGTCGGGTATAAAGAAGCCAGCTTCCTCCATCTATAACAAAAGCCCACAACATCGAGGGACGTCCAACTGATTTTACCCGTTATTGCATTGCTTCTTCTGTGTTGACATTGATGAATGGAACGGGACAGTGCTCTTGAAGTCTAGTTGCAAAACTAGATGGCAAAGTAAAAAAAAAGGAAAAAGAAGAACTGCTAATGGCATGTTATTGGCAAATCATGACATTGAATTTTTTATTTTACAGTGTAGCCAGAAATGTAAACTGATTTTGTACATACCTTATAAGGCTTCAAATCAAGGGCAGGTCTCACGCAAGTCAATTCAACTCAACTTTTTGCTTGTGCTAATGTAGTTAATGTCTAGCGAGTGGTAGCAGCGGACGGAAGTGATTGCACTCACTCTTGACTGTACTCGTCAGAGGGTTGGTGCAGTAAATGTCAACAGAAAACACATCGCTGGCACCAAACGTTACTGCTTTGCCTTACTAGTTTCATGGAACACAGATCATGCGGAGTCTGCAAATCTCAATGTAAAATCCTCTGAGATGCTTCTCATTGAGATGCACATTCCTGCTTCTCCACCCACTCCCCCGCCCCCACGCCATCCAAGCCAGGACTCAAATAATTGGACCCTGGATTCGTGCAAATGTGTAAACCACAAGGACGGTAAACATTAGTGCTGAAGTAGTTGGTAGCGGCATGAAAGTGCTTTAAATCTTCTGTGTAATTATTTTTTATAGTGTCAAACTGGATTTTTTTCTCCTTGTACATTTTGCTGCTGAACATGAAATATGAAGGAGAGAAAAAAAAAGTATGAATCCGTAGCCTAGTTACTAAACAAAGTCTGAAAGGATGACTCATTTGGTATTGTTTTCAGCTATTGACCTAGATGCGTTTGAGTTGTGTCTGCCGTGCTTCCTTGCTGCTGATATAGGCAACCACACATTTAGGCACTGTATATACCCAGACAAATTAGTGAAAAAAATGTTATGGATATCAATCCTAGCTTAAATGTCTTCACTTCCTCTATATAATGCAGCATTTTTTGCCTCACTTTTTCCTTATTCCTTCACAGTTTTACCAATGGCTGTGTAGCATCAAGGGCCCCACTTCCTTTATCCCACACCAGCTGTATTAATACAAGACGCAAACATGACATGATACAGGGCACTGAAAAGAAAAACCCGAGACAAATAAAGTAAAGAGAACAGCCCAAATCCTGTGACCCTCCCAGTTTTAAATGCTCTCTCAGGCAGAAACCAAAGGTCTGCTGGCCAGCAAAAACACACCACCACCCAAGGCCCTGACCGAGCAAAATCTCGAACCAGAAACCATTTAAAGAACAAGAAATGTCCTACTGATTTGAATAACCTTTGTAAATTGGCTGACAAGTGCTTGTAACCTTTTTTTTGTTGTCTTTTCCCAAACAATGATTATCTGAAGCCACTTCTTCCTCCGAGGTGCAACATGCCACATTCACAGAGTTCTACAGCAGCTCTTTGAAGTCCATGAGCAAAATGCAAAGCACACTCGGCACTTATGTTTTCACATCAATGCTAATACAGTCATGAATTCATCTGGGTCGAGGGTACGATCGTTATATCAGGATGAATGTCTCCATTGTTGTGGAACCAGCTTAAGGCCAATATTTAAAATTCCTCTTTGCTCTAGCTGTGCATCGCCAACATTTTTATGAAGACATGCAAGCCGTCTGTATATTATAGTTTAGCAACCTCCTTTTCATCCTTTCCGAATGGAGATTTCTCCGTTATCACAAATTAGTTCTTCTGTAGTGTCTGTCTTTGCTGAAAAGGCCCATGCATTCTTTTTGACTCTTCCATAAGTCAGTTGCCCTTCCTTAAGTAGTTTGGTTGTGAAGCCAATGAGAAAGTGCCTTGAACTTGAATTCGTTCTAATGATCACCAGCAGAGGGGGATTCCTCTGTTTGCAAAAAGCAGTCTGATTGTGTAGAGTGCTGCAGGAATAAGTCCTAAAACCCAGAAATGAGTCAGCATTTTTGCAGCTCTGGTTCCCTGTCTCAAAGTCTTTTGAATCTTTCAATGTTATTTTTTAGATAAAGTATGTGGTTAACACATGTTTTATGATTTTTATGTTTTTTTCTACGACATAGTTGTGTGTGTTTTTGCCCTGGAACTTTAAACCTTTTTCATAGTGTGTTTTTCATTGAAAGTTATTTGGAATCTTTTTGGTCGCCTTAAAAATGCATTATTCAGCCTTAACTTATACTCCCGTGTCACTTCGGGTTCCAAAAGAAACAAAATGGTGATGGTCGAAAACCAACATGGGGAAGGCAAAAATGCCAAAAAGTAGGCTTCAAACCCACAGTCCACAAACCAGAGGGTTAAGTCACGGTGACTACGTCCACTTCTTCTACACAGTCTGTGTGGCCGACAGTTTCCTGATTAGACCCCAAGGAAAATAACCTCACCCGCCAGATGGTTTGTTACACAGAACCATCTGAGAAGCCGCCATTGGAATCCGTGTGGAAAAGGGCAGGCTTTCAAAAAGTAAGTGGCAGGTGATTGGTTGAACTATCTGTCGATCAAACTCTTACCGAAGCTAATTGGGAGAAGAGCAAAAACATATTTTCCATTGAGACAACTGAGAAACCTGTAGCTCCTTACAGGACCCCGGTTGGTCCGTGTTCCGGCTTAACGCCCCACCAAACGTGTCACTCGAAGTCTGACGAGATCGAGTTCTGTATGATATATTTTCCAGCGATTCTCACCTGATCTGATGACATCCCGAGAATCCAGCTGTCGGGCAAAGGTAACAAGGAAAGGAGCTTTTAGATGTGGAGATGAAAATAAACGTTCAGGTGTGTTTGTCGGCTCAAACATTGTGCTTTTTTTGCCCTCTGGTCTTCGCTCTGATGGTTTTCCAGACATGTCATCTCTTATGTGATAAAATAAGGACCATCAAGTGTCAGATTTGAAAGTGGTTTAACACCATTTCAGCTGCTGGGACAAACACTTTTGAGCGCTGAATGTTTCTGGAGTGTGGTGGAAGAGGAAAGGTTATCATTACTTTGACATAATCCCACAGGGGGGCTTTTAAGGCTTTCTGTTGGGAGGGGTGTTGTGACTTTTTTACTCCACAATGTTTTGAGCCATACCGCTGTTTTGATTGATGCCAAGATGTTGACCTGAGGCTGCTGCCAGGACACATAGTGTGATGATGAGTCACATACTTCGGCGAAAAGGGTCAGACTGCAAACCTCTTGCACGTTGGCATTAATAGGTCATCTCGGCTGTGCCACAGTGCATCTAGGTGGAACAGTTCCTGTGGAAAGGGGTCTCTCTCTTTTTTTTTCTTTTTACATTGCACATGCAACCCTCAAAAACGATTCCTTTCGGACGAACTGTGGGCGGAGGAAGTGGGATTTGAATGTCAAGTATCATGTGTCTAGGCAAAAGTTTCTTGTTGAGTTTGCAAACCCCATCAGTTCTCTGCAGTCTTTAGTGTACCACCATCTGGTCCACAGCTGAAAATTATTAAGATCGGCTGGAACTTCCTCCGCTCTATTCCTCCCCAGTTTGAAGACAAGTAAGTAGCTTTTTATCTCAGCTCTGTTGTTTGCATGTTTCTCTCCATAGAAATGTCTTCTGTTTCTTCTTCTTCTCTAGCGGTGTGATAAAGTATGTCAGGGCACTGCATTTGATCTGAAGGAGTTCAAGCACCAAGCTTTGAGAGAACAGTTCTGGCTTTTAGATTAGACTCCGAGACACCACGGGTGATTCAACTGAGGAATTCTGGGACTAAATTCATAAACAGATTGGAGTTGCGATGTCTAATGTGCCACGCTTAGCCAAGCAAGATTCCAGAGCCGGGGAAGAAAACAAAGGATCTTTGTTGACTTGCTTTCTCTGAGGCATTCTGTTGGGACCTCGGTGCACGCTCTGCTTCTAGTCCATGTTAAGAGCTCGCTGCCTTTTTAGCGCATATGGGTCAGATTAGTGACTGGCTGAGAGGCATTTATAAATGGGAATGTTAACTTTGTCTGTCTCTTTCTTTTTTAATAAACCTACTCAAACATTAACTTTTGTCAAACCTCTGCATTTGGAGTCATTCCCATTTGTTGTTTGGGGCTTGAGAGAGAGAGGGAGGACTCCACGGGGTCAAAGTAGGTCACACTCATTCCCAGAAAGAGTCGCTCCGAAGATAAATTCCAAATGTTTGAGTCACCGAAGGTGAATGGTTAGACTACGGACATGGCTTTTGCTCTGCTGTTTAGAGGCTGATATTACAAGAATGTAAAGTGTTTGCTTACGCTTTCTGCAAAAAGTTGAGAAACACATTTTGGACTGCATAGTGTGTGTTTTGTAGACCTAAATGTTACATGTTGACATTTTGATTCTAAAGTTGATTGAAGTGTCTTTTTTTCCTGATGTTCAGACTGAATGTCTGGTACCTTCTGTAACCGCATTCTGCGGTTTTAATCACCATTCCATTGTGGTTCGTGTGCCCATTTCATTTAGTTAATGTTGGAACAAACTGAATTATGTCGCATAAACGGATGCTCAGTCAGGTGTGGACTCTGTCTGGACTGTTGGGAGACTGTGAGCACATTGTGTCTCACCGTGTCTGCAAGTATGCACACACTCTTCAAGAGAAGAATTGACTAGACCTAACCTGGTGCTTCCACTGCAGCTGGCAAACATCGAAGGAAGACTGGGGGAGTTTGCAGCTCAGTGTTAAGTCTGTGTGTGTGTGTGTGTGTGCGTGTGTGTGTGTGTGTGTGTCTTGGGGTCGATAGTTCTCCCAAGGGGGTGCTGTTGATTCACCAGACAGGAAGCTATTAAAGCAGGCCGAACACTGCCAGCTGCCAATCAGAATGAGTGACATCACAGTCAGGCGTCAGGAGAGGCGTTGCATTACACCTCAGAGTGTCACAAACAAACGGAAAGCTAGCCAGACTCTGTCCGCTGCCAGACATTTCTGCAGCGGTTGCCAAAGTGAGAGCGGCATTTTGCTTTAAAGGCTTAAAGCTCTTAATGGCGACTTTCAGCGACGTCTATAAGCCAATGCACAGGACCGGGATTGGGGTCGGATATAGAAAGCCTGATCAGTTTCCAGTCCTTTTATTTGTCGCCAACTAATTTACTGCGAGATTGCCAGCTTTCGTACACACCTCGTGTCCTGGAACACAGCTCCAGTGGGAGTTATTTCACTTTTTTCTCAATAGCCTTTTTTTTTTAAGCAACATTCTCAGGTGTACCACACCTCTGCACTTGCTTAAACATATGTTTTTTATGATTCATGGTGGATTTGAGGGGAGGCAGTCAAGATCCCCTCCATACTTCCTCCCACATAAGATTCCTACTGATGACTCTCTCTCGCTAGATTTATAAAAAAACGTTATATAAAATACAAGAAACCCATTAAAGGGAAGTCCGAGTTTTCCTAATTCAGTGCAAATAATATCTATCTTGCTTTGAAGACGGTGCACTTGAATCCAAAAGTGCTGGTTCTCTAAACTACTGAGGCCAAGGTCATAATTTGGCAGTCCAGACACTGTAGAGTAGATCTGCAGAATCCACCCTCCCCTTTCTCTGGTGAAATGTAAACAATAGCGGTGTCCTGGTTCATCTGCCCGTGCAAATGTCAACAGAAGCATGTGAGACCCGTAAATACGGAACACAAGTTGTCTTTTTTTCAGCAGAAAAGATATTCTGTTTTTGCTAGACTGAGGAATGTCCCTGTCCCCACCCTGAAGCTTGTTCCGTTTAACTGTTCTGGAGCCCTTTCCGGGGCCTCTGTTTCCAGTAAAATATCCTCTTACTGTGAGAACCCTCATACATTGTACTTGTATCCGCAAACTACATTTCCCTCAATTATACGCCACATATCATTATGTACAGTCTGCAGCTAAGGTTTTCCTTTTTTTTTTTTTTTTGGAGACAGTTGCTTATCATCGCAGGGCCTGTTTAATGCAAAGTTTGTCTCCAGCTCTCCCCAGCAGCAAGACAAGATTTGACTCAATAGCATGACTCCGTCATTTTGCAGTGGCTCCTCACTGCTACTCAGTCAAAGCTAATGATCCGTTAACCTCCCATGTTCCCATCGATTAGTTTTCACATTCTTCAGTTTTTATCTCATTTCTCAGCCCCAAGGACTATTGTTTGCTAATGCATTTCATATAAAAGCTTATTTTCTAAATGCCACCGTTTATGTCACGCTCATAATTGGTGTCCGTGCTTCGTAAAAGGCACTATGCAGCATAAACTCCCTCAGAGTTTGTTGCAGTGGCAGGTGATGCAACAAGCCAAGATGTATGGCGAGAAGATGTATGGCGAGAGGAAGGATGGAGTACCAACCATCTAAAATGTGCTCTCATTTGTTACATTTCAATTTTCCAATGAAACCCAATAACATTAAGTGTTCAACCTAAACATGTAGAAGGCAATGAGGCACAACAGTCCACGTGCGGGTATAAAAGAAGTATATTTAGTTCCATCTGGTTCGGTAGGACCCCCTTTGTATCGCTTCGGGTGTGCGCATCACTATGTGTAATGCTTGAGCAGATATGAGCTCTGACTCCCGCTTCTGAGGTTATCAGCCAATTAAATGGCTGTTGACAACGCGACCATAGATTTTAGGTGATCATTGATTATCATTTATTGGGAAACGTGATCAAGGCAGGGAAGGTTCAAAAGTGTTAGCTTACGAACTCTTGTGGGCGTTTTCAATATGACGGGCCCAAAAAGACATAAAGTGACGTAGTATATAGAGCGACAAAGTCCGCGTAGGGAGGAGGTGGACGTAGGTGCCATACAAACACAGGACTTTCACCCAGTTGGCTGCTGTTTGTGTCCCATAGTGAAACCAAAAGTCAGGAATATTGACCTACTGCATATTTTACATACATTCCTACTTTTTTGTTTCTTTTTATGTGACTAGATCTAATAAATATTTGATGTTCATGTTTGTATCTTTTCAAAAAGTGTAGCAGTCTGTCGTGGCTACAAGATGTTGGCCGTTTCATTCCAAGGCATGAGCAGGATTTGTTTTCCACTTTCACTAGAAATGAGTAAGAGCTCAGGATTCCCTTGATAAATGGAAAATACCAGATATGGAAAAATGTAATTCATTTTCTTAATTGCCCAGGCGCACCTTCATTTGTTCGCAAAGATTGATGGCTGTTAATGTGGCAGCCCTTGCATATTCGTTCACAGAAAAAGAGTAGAGAGTATGGATTGTGGAGAAGGCTGACAGCTTCCTCGTCCTGGACAGCGTGTCCTTGCAGTCACTCTGGACGACTGAACTCCCGTGGGGAATTGATGTAAAGGCTTGAAAGCGGTCAAAGCATAGTGTCACATTCTAGAGATGGGGAGGTGGGCATTTTGAATTTGTAACAGAAACAGCTTTCTTTTTTCTGTAAAGCAGCAGCAGTGTTAATGTACTGTGCCAGTGTCTCTGTTAAAGCACAACTGGGCTGCTAGGGGCTGCAGCATTAATCAAATATTTATTGCAATCACAATTTTGGCTTCCCACAATTAAGCGTACATGCTCGGGTGCGATGTTGCTGTTTAAAATGTGTGGTCTGCTGCATATCAAGATCAAGCTCTGCCTAAACTAACAGCCAGCCACCAGCCGGTGACCTGTGAGGAACCCCTCCGGAATCATAAAGCAGCAGTTCAGATTAGAAGAGTTAGACATTATATTTGACTCTTTTTGCCCATCTGCTCTCTACAGAGAGCGGGCGCATCTGCCTGGGGAATTCAAAAGCTGAGGGTCAGTTATGGCCACTTTGTGTGGGAGCATCCTATTGGCGGTGGTGGCTGACCCTCGTCGAGCTCCAGTGACATGTACACAAACACAAACCAGTCGGAGACGTTATTTCACATGGCGTTCTCCAAGAAGAGAAGAGAGAAAAGTGAGTCTTTAAACAAGAATGGACAGAGTCTTATACCTTCATTCTTCCCATGGGCAGTTTTAAAACCAGGATGTCTCATATGTTCAGAGACCACGAGACAATGCACAAATCTTTTGAGCAAACGTACCCACTCGCATCCGAAATGAAGGCACAGAAAATAAACAGTCTAAGAGCCAAGTATGATCCGAATCCTAACACGTTAATTCACTGTCCAACAATGATGCTAACAGAGAGGAGAATGGAGCTGAAACAAGTTGTTTTAATAACCACAGATATAACGTCAGACCCTGCACACACATTTCGTAGCACAACCTGGAAGTGAAAGCACTGCTCTGTTTATTTCAATGTGAAAGTGCGACAGAAGAGAAAATGACTTTGAACACAGCCTACATTCATCTCTCTTTTTAACCAGACTATATTGCTACAAGTAGAATAATGATGTAAGGCAATGTTGTTTTTTGTGAGATCATTTTTATTACTGACATAAATCTGGAGATGATGACTAGTTAGAAATCACTAAAGGTCAGCGTTGACATCTCTTGTGATGACTTGGCTTCATGGGTTTAGTTTCAGGTTCTTTGCCTTGTTACTGTGTGTGTGTGTGTGTGTAGCTGGATGTGTGTGTATTGGTGATATACTGTATGTGACCTTGCATCATTTTGACAGAAAGATATGCGCTGGTTCTGTTGTAAAGATTAGAAAATAATGCGGCCAGGGGGGATCACAGTAAACAATGTTACATTGTACTGAGCCACACTATTGTAGTAGAATGACAGCCTCAGCCAGAGATGATGAGTATGATGAGGCCCAGTGGTAAACAACTGTAATGCAGACGGCCCGGGAGGTTAACGGGAACACATTCTGACAGCTCAACATTGCTTCACTCTCAGAGGGTGGGGATTTTTTTTGCAGAAAGAAACATCGGACTCGATGTTTTTTTTTCAGACATTCTGTCATTTTAAAAGGAAGTTTGAGGTCAAAGCCATTTTTAACTCGCTTCTCCCTGCTGCTTTTCCAGGTGGAATATAGGCAGACACTCCGGAGGGACCTCGGAGACACACATTTTCCACTATGAACCGCGCCTTCAACAGGAAAAAAGGTGAGCAAAACTAACTAATGCTTATTTAGCCTATGGAACTTGCCATTGCCTGATTTAGCTACAACCTTGCCAGAGGCTGCACAGACTCCCTGAGACAACTGAGACGGGAGCACTGTTGTGTTGGACGAACACAGATCGCTCTTTGTCATGGGACCTTTTTATTAGTTGCAGCAACACAATAAAATGTCAAGCATATTTTAAGAGAAATTTTGAAATGTTGCAAGAAAGAAATTTAAATTAGGTCAACAGTGTAGTTCGGTCAGTGCTAAATACTAGGCATGGCTGTAATCAGATAGTCAACAGTGTAGAAGAAGTACAGGTCGCGACGAACATGAAACAAAAGAGGTCAGCTTGGCCATTTAACCCATGTATGATAAAAACGTCCTCGGCAACTTTCTATTGTTCTTTCAATGAATACTTTTAATCTAGTACTGACCATGTTTCATGCTGTCCAGAGACGAAGACAAATTAATGCAATGATTCTAATGCACCAGCAAGGGGCGTTGACAGAGGAGACAGTTCATCATTCATATGAGTTAAATGTTCCCTAAGTCAGAATTTATTCGGCAAAGGCGTTTCCATTATCCATTAAGGCAAAAGACTCCTCAGGCGAGCGTGAACACTTTTTTGCGCAATTTATCGAATTTAGTTTTTTCCATACAGCATATCTATTCCGATGTTTCAAAATGTGAATGAAATACCTGACTGAATACATGGATAGTGATATGAAGTTACTACATCACTTACGCTCTATTCTATTTGTTGGGCCTGGACAATGATCCCCTTTCTTACAGTAGTGTCCTAAGTTTAAGTGGAATTGCACAATTAAGTGGGGCACGCCACCATTTTAACAAATTCAGTTTAGTTTACTCGTCACAAGGAGTAAGACTATAATGTATAATGTCCTCTGTGGCTCTGGAGGAGCTTTCCTAAGTGTGAAAAAATAACCCTGATAATATCATCTGAAAGTTTTTTTAACAGAAGGTCTGCGTTACAAATTGGCAGTGTGGGTTTTGAGAGATGGGGGCATTGGGGTCCAATGAAAGATGTTTTCCAGTTGCATTATGGGGGAATTTAGGATCGAGTGTTTTTGAAGCTTGACCCACTCTAGATACTAACAGTGGGGTTCAGTTTTGTACCATGTCTGGACTCGAGGACTGGAACGACCTTCTTAAATATTAGCCCCATACAAGCCAGCTATTTGGCAGGACCATAAACTCTTCACACTTCAAAGCTCCAAAATATAAAAAACAAAACTTTGTGATGTTTGTAATCCTGGCTGATGAAACGATTTTATTGGTTAGATAAAAAATAATGCACTGTGCAACTTAAAAGGCTGTTTGTCCGACACTGGTTGCAAATAAAACAGCCCAAACTGAAAATTACTCATTTCCATAAAACTAACAGAACTGTCAATACAGGCGGAATACAAAAAAAAAACATTGAAACACGTGCGCCCTGCCGCGCATTCCAGTAAATGTTGGACAGTTAAGGTGGTTGTGCAGCACTGCAGTCTTGAGGTGACCCTTCCCAAATGCAGAGGAGAGGATATTTGTGACTGCAGTTTTTCGAAACAGCTTGATGTGTTTACCACCATCTGCTCCGCTCCCTCCGGTGTGAATCAACAGACCTGGAGAAGCCTTGGACAGTGTTGGGGAAAGTGTCCTGGGCCCAGGTGGTACATCAGGCTCTAATGATGTCTGGGTGTTATAATTCATTGTTTCCTATTAAGTTCTCCATTTCTTGAGCGAAGGATGGTGATCGGGGAGGGCAGATAGTCCCTTCTCACCTCACATTAAGTTTCCCTTTGATTGCGCTAAATGGGAATGGCTCCACTCCTCTCATTTTAACTGGGATTTAATCTCTGTGAATTCCAGCTGATACCAGGGCATACTATTTGCACACATGCCTGTGCTCATACTGTAGGGGGGGATTTTGGAAAAGTTAAATTAAAAATGAAACTAGACTCAACCGTAAAGGTGGCTTTGGGAGCAGACAGATAATGAGGGACCCTGCAAGAAAAAGAAAAAGAAAATAGGAAGGACAGTTCGACAGACGGTAAACAGCTCCCTCAATATATTCTCCCGGACAGGCTGCCACACACCGTCCAACTCTTTCCATCTGTGTGGAGCTGCAAACGCTGCACACATTCACACAACTGCCATCAAAAGTGTGTTAAAGCCTTTTTTCACCAAGAGCAGGGCAATCGTTTCCTGACCTCCACCATGCACTGTCGTATCCCAAGCGCCAAACGGACGCCCGACCCTCAGGCTTCTCTCTAGATTTCATTCCTGCACCAGTTGTTACAGTCGGTCCACGGCAAATGGTGCCAAAAGGTCCACAGCAGATAGCTCGGCTTCCCCCCCCCTTTCCCAGACAGATAGAACGCCTTTTATTTGAAAGTGTGAACCATAATAGAGGAAACATATCTGGAAGCATTCACGTGTATTATATTTAGCCACTGGCATGCGCGCTTAATGGACCTCAGTATTGCAGGTTCCCCCCTGTTGCAAAGACAAAGTGGATGTTATTCAATGTCACTTCAAAGTTTCTCCCCCAAAGATTTTTTTACGCAAAAATCTGAACAAAGGACTTCATTACACGCGATTTGAATTAGTGTGTAAATTAGCTGGCATCTTGAACCATTCGTAACAAAAAAAAAAAAATTCTACGTTGAGGAAGATAAGCAGATGCATGGTGCAATAATTGAATCGCATTAGAGTAGATTTAGATTCGGACCAGCCTGGCAGATTGTTTCTTGTGTCACTATGTAATGATGTGATGACATTTTCCAGTTTCTCTCCCCATATTTGACCTCGGTTGTGAATGAAACGTTCCTGTCAGCTGGAAATGTCATTGGACGTGCAACTTCTTCCTCAGCCGACAACCTCCCACGTGGGCTGAGCGAAGGTTTACTTTGCTAGTGGTTTCACATTAGATTCATTTATTCAGCCTCTGCTAATAGTTCTCAAAGAGGATAATTGCCTCGTGTTGCTGATGCTGATTGCTCCCTTCCGTCATCATTTGTACTTTTTTTTTGATTTTGGACGAAGGCGACAGGAAAGTTCCGACTCATCTCATTGTTTTCTTTCCCTTCTTAATTTGTAATAGTTACACTGACAACAGTCAACAGAGCAGTCCAACATGTGTACAAGGCGTTCATGTCTTTGTAATGTTTTACTCTTGGCTGTGAGTGACGGCTGGCACTGACTCGCTCCACTGATTTACCCCCCCCCCCCCCCCCCCCCCTCTGTCTCCGTGCTCGGCTGTGTTTGTGGACTCGATCACGTCGAACAGGTAATGCCAACTCGGGTCTTGATCATTTTTATCTCCCGCGTTTATTGCCCCGTGCTCCTTTGGACGTGACTTGCACTGAATAGTTGGGACAGAGTCCTGGTGAGCCACAGATTATAGATATTAGGTACACCCTGAATAAACCCCACCTTCATGAAGGTTGATTTGACTGATTGGTCACTTTGAAGGCTGTCGTTTGTGGTCCTACTGAATTATATCGTCTGTCATATTAAGTCTAACCTCACTTATAGAAATTGGCACGTTATAACCTCCATAGAGGAGGAATTATTGACAGTATTAGGCTGCATTTGTGTTAGCTTGGAGTACCCAACACAGGAGGCAGAACAATGGTGAGCGAGCTACAAAAAAAAGCAAAAAAAAAAAATGGGATTTAGTATGCCATGATCACTGAAAAGTCTCGGCGGGACATAAATGCGCTTCAGTTCCCAGCAACTCTCTGAAGATGCTAATAACTTCACTGTAACTGTGTGTGGCCATTAGGGCTGATCTTTGTTTTTGCACTGAGTCTCATGCAGAGGAAAAGGGCCAATTTTGCACAAAATATATGCATATTAACCTAACTCTCAATATGAGCAAATAACGCCGGAGCAGCACGGTGCATTTCACCCTCTGCAAGTGCTTTGAGAATTACATGCTTTCTTTGTGTCTCATTTGTAGCCGTAATAGCCCACGCAATCCTTGTGGGACTTGCCATCTTGGAGGTACTTTGCCTCATGCAGCAAATATACTGTACTTATTTACCACTTAAGAGGTTTTCTTTTTGTTTGTTGATTTTGGCCGAAGGCGACAGGAAAGTTCCGGCTCGTCTCATTGTTTTCTTTCGCTTTGTAATTTGTAATAGTTACACTGACAATAGTCAACAGAGCGACTTGCCATCTTGTAGTTACTTTGCCTCATGCAGCAAATATACTGTACTTATTTACCACTCAAGAGGTTTTGTGGAGGTTTCTTACAAATGATTAACAGTCCTGAGTTGGCAAAAGCTGCACAATATTTAATATATACAGTTATAAAAAAATATATGTATCATCTTGATTTGCTATTTCTTCTGCTATTTTAAGTTTTTCTTTGTTCATAGTGCAATAACAGTGACCAACAGGAAGACACATATGACACTGAATGACATATTGTAGTATGCATGTGTAAAGGTCAGTGTTTGTGTGGGTGGGTGTGTTAAAGACATTGAGGGAAGAACAAGTGAAGGAGACAATATGAACCAAAGAGAGAATGAACTTTTATTAAACCTGAGCAATGTGAAGAGATGTTTTATCTATAATAATACCTGCGATTGTACAACAGTTGCTTAATGTTGGTTTGAATACGTGCACAATATAATCATTCCATCTAGGGTAACTGCCACAGCATTCCTAAATTATTTACACCTTCTCCTTCTAGCTCATTGAACAATCTTGAATCTATGAATTTCCAAACATCACAGTGAAGTAACAAGAAGAAAAACACTTGGGGTTCAATTTAACAATATGTATTTCAATAATACAATGTTTAATACTAGTAGATAATCACCTCCATCAGTTCTGTTTTGTTTTAGCTTTGGTTTTGTGAATTTATTAGTATTATTCATTAAATTCATGATTTGTTAATAATGACATAATTATATGTTATTCCTTTCCAATGCATATTTTGAATCTCTAAGCATTTTTTTTTTTTAAAGAACACAAACAAAA